GATCCAGGTGTTGTTGTGTCCAGTGCAGGTGCTTCTTCAGCAGTTGGTTCCAACCCCAACCCAGGTGTTGCTGCAGTAGTTGATTTCAAATCTGGCTCAAGTGTCACTCTGTCTGGTGTAGCCACTCTTTCCGCTGTTGTTTCTGAGTCCAGCCCAACAGTTGTTTCAAACTCTAGCTTGGGCATCACTTCAGGTGTGATTACTGAATCAGGTCCAGGTGTTATTTTATCTGTTGCAAGTGTTGCTTCACCTTTTGTTTCTGACTCTGGCCCAGACACTCCTTCAGCTGTTGTTTTTGAATCTGATCCAGAAGTTATTGAGTTTGGCTCAACTTTAGGTTGTGTTTGTTCAGTTGTTGATGATGTTGGCTTGGGTTTTGGCTCAGTTGTCACTTGTATGTTCCTTCCACCATCTCCTGTTTGTCCACCATCTCCTGTTTGTCCACCTTTTATACAATTGCAGGGTTTGAGTTGAATGATGTTTTTAATAAGTTCAGCACTCGGGAAGTTCATGCTTAGGACTCCTAAGCAACCTTGGTATGAGGAGCTTTTCTTATGTTGTACCACAAAGCTGTTAAGCTGCGGGTTAAGTGTTTGAGCCAACTTTTTTGGACTGCTGAGAAGTGATGCTGCACTGTCAGTCAACACAATATGTTGACCACAGAGTTGTGACATGATTTTCCTGATTTTGGCTTCCACAGCGATCAGCTTCTTATTTTCAAAGAACATTGACTCGTGGTTTTCTATGCCACGATAGTATGTGTCACTGTGGATAAGAACAATATTTCCCCTCACCTGTTGCATGGTCGGGATTGAGGACTGAGTCCATATCTTATTTCGGTTCTTGTCAATCAATTCCGTCATCAATTTTGTGACTTTGCTCTTGTATAGCCCATGTAATGTTACTTTTACAAGCACAGTCTCACTTCTGTGGATGTTTAAGAAGTGGAAAATAACCTTAAGTACTTCATCTAAATGAGAATGTTGCCAAAACATCCAATGACTATCCCGGATATAAAGATAATTTTTGGATGACCAAATCCCAACATGCAAATCAAAATAACGCACTCCCATTTTGAGTTGGTTGTCCAAGGTCCAAACTTGACATTTAGCAAGAGGTCCTCCGTGTAATGATAAGCTTTCGTGTGTTCCAGGTATGGAGAGAGCAGATATGAGGGTCTCATTAGGCACAGACTTCATCCAGTCCAGGTTATAAAGTCTTGGATTAATGGCTGGGTCATCATTGAAACCTGTTCCTGAGCCCGAACAGGAGTTTATTATTCTGGTGGAGGAAAAGACATAATCATATTTCTGAATTTCCAAATTTTAACAAAGTTTCAATCATTCTTTACCAATAGCATATAAAAACAGAAATGATGAAATAATAACACAATAATTGATTCGATAAAGCACACTGTTCTATGTACAATACAAATTGTACTATGTGCTATGTTCAACTTACATCAAGGAAAGCCACAAGTAATCATGGTTCTCCATAATTGTTTTTGATGTCCAACCTGTATGTTCCAGTAATGATTTGTCCAGCTGTCTTTCCAAGATACGTTTACATCTTTGTCTCACCCATGGAGCTTTTTAACTGTGAACATGACTGGGACGAAAAAGACAGTTGTCTCCCTTGGAGTCAGTTGCTGTAACTGTGAGCAGAAAGATAGAGTTTCATTTGCATGGTTATTCTCTCTAATCTATTGTTTTGAATGAGGAGAGAGAGTGAGAATTGTGTATGCAGCCATACTATATGAGCAAAAGTATGAGGACACATTTGTCAAGTTTGGTTTGGTGCTGCTTTTAGTGGTTCAAATTTTTAAAGCAGTTTTTTGTAATTCTTTTTAAATGGGCTTATACGATACAGTCCTTTTTTTTATATGTGGGGTCATATACATGTTTTCAAAACCTAAGATTTGTCTTTTCTTGTTTTATTATAACTTTTTTATTTTTTTTATTATTGTCTACTTTATGTAGACCTGGAGTCAGACCTTATCTCCCAAAATGAGGACCCAACTTTGCTTTTCCTCTTGTGGCTGATGCCTGCAGTCATGTTACACAATCTTGGAGAAAGCCTGAGGTGCAGAGACAGTTATGAAATGTTTAATGATCGCATACAGGAGTAATATTTAGGTTTGCACAGGCATCAGGCATCCACATGTTTCATCATTTTGAACGTTTTGTCGTGCCTTATGAAACAGGCTAAATGGGTTTGTTCTCTTTTTCCACATGTTAAATACTCACTGTGCCTCTTTCCTCTCTGTGGTTGGTTGAGCTGCGCTGTGACGCCATCCTCCTCCTCCAATAAGCTTGTATCTGGCCTCTGCTGATCCTCTTCCGGCCACCTGTTGCATCTTAGTGCGAAAGGTTATCTGCAGAACCATGATCAGATAAGACTTTAACCTGTGCAGCTAGTGGTATTTCACAACAGGAACTATCAGATAATGATAAATAGCAAGAGTGCTTTTGATCTGCAAGAGGCCCAATTGCTTCTAACACCCACGTCTGCACCAGCTTTTTGCCCCGGAGCTAATCCCTTCTTTGTCTTTACAAGATGTCTGTGAGAACTCTCCCCCTGGTTTTCATTAATCTTGGTGGGGAGATGATTTACATACTGGACCAACGCCTGCAAGCTCCCAACACGTCTGATGACAATTCAGAGAAAGGTAGAGGTAGATAGAGACCTGACAGGCTTGATAGATGTGTACGTGTTTCGCTCCCACTCATCCCTCCCCCTGACAAGCTGTAGCAGTCAGATGTTAGCTTATAAACCAAGCATGTGCATCTCATATTTCCATTGCGCAACACCCCGAATGCTTCTTATTCCTTCTCTTGCAGGAGTGTGGTCAGAAAACGACAGAAAAAGAGGTATAAATACCACACATCAGAATATTGTTGTTTATTCAGCTCGGTGTGCCACTAGTTTCTACTTTTAGTTCAACATAATTGGTTGTGAGATGTAGAAATAGTCTTGGTACAACATTATATTACAGCTTACAATATACTTCTGATATTCTGTATGCTGGGGTACTAGTGTAAGAAAACAAGAGTATGGGGAAGAAGGAAAAGAAAAAATGGGCATTTTAGAGGAAAGAAGATATAAATTATGCTCATAAGCATTTATGTAAGTTGGGTTTGACTTTCTAACATTGTATGTTACCCAAACTGCAGCAAGTTACAGGAGGAAAGGGTTAAGAAGGTTAAGGAAGTTAAAGGAACGGATGTGTGACATGGTCTGATCAACAAAGCTCCATCTTCAGCAGGAACTGGCATTTTGTTAGCATCTGAAATTACACAGTTAAATGCAGGCTGCATTGTTTCCATGGTGCTTATGCATTTCACATGAATCAGTAACTTAATTCATAAATTCAATAAATCGGTGAGGAACAGCAAACCTAGTTTAACACGCTAGCAGTTAGCGTAGCAGTAGATTGATTTATTAATCAATATAATAGAAGAATAGAAGATTGTCAGAGAGAAGTATCTTCATTTAATTAGGTCTTAGTCAGCCTGAAAAGACTTTATGATCTACAACATATTTTGACAGGCAACCATTTTCCTCGATGTTTGTCTTCGATGCCTTTTAATAACATATACAATAAAATAAAAGCTCCAATGGTAAGTATGACCCAGAATAACCACTTTGCTTTTCTGTCCCTCTCCTGTTCAAAGTTATGAATGACATCGTGGGAACCATGTTTAGCAAAGCATTCATCGATGAACTTCTCAAACCTCAGCAGCTGTATTCTCACAGGACACTGAAGACTGTGCTGACTCGCTTAGCACACGCCTCCATCATGAGGTTGAACCCCGCCAGCATGGATAGGGTATGTGCCGGACACCAGATCAGGGGTTGAAACTCGCTCAAGTCCCTTAAGACTCAAGTACAGTTGTCAAGTAAAGTCAACAACTCAAGACTGAAATCCTCACTTCCGTGACTTAATTCGGACTTGAACGCTGCTCTGAACTCTACACACCCCTGATTCTAGATACTTTTCAAGTGCTGCATTTTCATCGGTGCATCAAATGTTATGTCTTCGTTCTTTGTTCTTCCCTCCTGCAGCTTTACGAGCTGATGGTTATGGCGTTCAAATACCAAGTCTTCCTTTGTCCACGGCCAAAAGACTTGCTGCTCATCTCATACAACCACATAGACACCATCAGGGAATTTGTCAAAGATACTCCGGTGGTCGTGAATCAAGTGGACGAGACACATAGGAAGATAATTGAGGTGCCATTGTCTTTCATTACCATTTTCCATTTCTTAACTGAAATCCTCCAGTGTACTGCGTCTCCACTGTTCAGATACTCAGACATGTTGCCTACAGTAGTTTAAAGAGTCTGTACAACAGCAGGTATTTTGACATGTTAATGTAGGAAAACAGCAAGTGTCAAGTGATTGTTAAATTTAATTTTGACTGTGTGACAGTCAGTCAGAAGTAAGAACAGCCTGAACTGAAGCATCTAAGTGGAATCCAGTCATCAGTCATGGTGTCATTTACATCTGTACTTAACCTACAGCGACACGTTGAAGCATGTGCTGTTAAAAACACCCTGTGTAACCTGTTCTTGTTCTTCTCGGTGCAGGTATACTCATCATTATCAGAAGGTGAATTCCAGCTTCTCAGACAAACTCTGCTCATATTTTTTCAAGACATGCATGTTCGCGTGAGTCCTCTGTCATTACCTCATCAAGTGAAAGTAAGTTACAACAACTTCTTTTTCCCCAATCACATTTTTTTATGATCTTTTCCTCTCAGGTGTCACTTTTCCTCAAGAATAAAGTCCAGAATCCCAACGGACGTTTTGCCCTTTCGACCTCAGGTCCAGTGCCTCATGGCATAGATGTCCCAGGGTTAATTAGGTGGGCAGACAAAAACTAACAATCAGTGTCAGACTCATGCATGTGGATATTGATGCTTTGGATAAACCACAAAGTTTTGTATTTTTACTCAAGTTTTTCGCGGATGAATCAGTAATAGGAGCCTCCAGCACAACTTACAGAACACAACTCTCGTATTTATTCTCTTACCGACCATAAGAACTATCTCAATATTCCAGAGTGACGTCATTCTCTTCCTGTTTCTACAGGACGTTCAACACTAAGGGCAAAGAAGTGAGACGTAGCCAGTTCCCCACTGGAGGAAGTTACAGCAGCGCCATCAGAGAGGGATGTTTTGAGCTGCATGGAGACAGAGTCATCAGACTGGGCAGGAACATGTATGTGGCGTGTGTGAGGAATGCATCATTGAACTCATGCAACAGCACATGCATGAACTAAACCACAGCACGTGTTTAATGGATTAACAGGTACACGGTGAACCATCCCGAGGAAACACACACATCCAAGGCTCCGTCTGTCAAGGTAGTGATGTGCAGACATTTACATCACTAATCAAGCTAATTCATTGTGTTATCATGAACTTGAGAGTTTGCATGTTTCAGGTGTTATGAATATTGGTGCAGTATAAAAAGGCTTGAACACACCTGAAAGCTTCACACATCACCCATGGGATGTAACTCTGTACTTTTACTCTCCATTACAATCAGTTTTACTTATTTCATGAACTATACCAAGGCTTTCGTTTATTTGCCTTTTCTTAATTCATATTTAATTTCCATATACTCATAAATTATTGTACAAAACATCAGCAAGTTCCATCTAATATAACATTTTGTTGATTGAAATACTTCTGTTATTTATATTCCTGTTTCTCTCACCTGTAATGTCCACAGTCTTTCTGTTCTGTTGATTTCAATTTTTGCCTTTTCTGCTTTTTGAATCCCTTTTATTTCCAGATGTTTTGGGGTTTTTTCTTTTCTATTTTATTACATGTGCACCATCATGCTTAATCTATGTACATGGAAACTAAGCTTATCCATGAACTTTGTACAATTATAAATGTGATGAATAAATTCTAATTTCTTATCGTTAAACTATATGATCAGTCTATAAAACATATTGCTACCTGTTATTTGACTATTGAATTAGATTAGTACAATACTCTTTCCACCTCTGCACAGTTTTTATCTTCTATCAATTTGGCATCTGATTGTTGCATTATATCCAGAGTACTTTTGTTTAACATTTTCTTTCTGTTCTCTTCTAACCGTCCTGCACATCGTGCTGCAGACAAACGACACCCCCAACCTGCTGGCCAAGGAGGAGCTGAACCTGCTGGCTCGTCTGATGGGCAGCGTGAAGGCTGAGAACAAGCCCAAAGCTGAGACGGGCTTCAGGATCAACCTGTTCACTACAGACGAAGAGGAGGAGGAGGCGTGAGTCTTCGTCTTCGCTCATTCTCATGCAGTTGATTTTAATTCCCACAAATATGTTTTTCATTCTCGGTTAACAGGGGGGACATCAGTGGAGCTGAGCAGTCCATGTTTGGAGTGATCAGTATTCAGGCGATGAAGGTGATGTAACACTGCAGAATGATTTTAGTTATCTACTGTCTGTAGATTACTAAGAGGATCTACAAGCTGATTCAAACATATATGAAACAGTCACTGATCAATTCATTTTTGGGTTCAGGACGAACAGGCTGCCTCTGAGCTGGCTCGAATCGCCGGACAGTTCACAGAACAAGAACAGCCTGAAACCCTCGGCTGTAGCAAAGGAGACGACCTGCTGGCCATGATGGATGACCTCTGAGATGAGCTTTCATTGGGTGATCACTATTACTGGTGTCATTGATGAAGTTCAAATAAGATTCATCATTTTAACTTCATGGCCTAAATGACTGATGCCAACTCAATGCGTCTCGGGTACAATCGCATTTTGTGTTAATATCAATATCACTGAGATCTGTGAGCTTGTGTTAATATAATCTGTGAAATATGCATTTGTTAGTTTGTTAGTTTCCGGATATCCAGTGATCCAGTAAGAATATCGGATTTTAAATTACAAGCTATTGAAACACATTGATTGGACGACTAATTTATATGTTTGCTGATTTGTAATAATTGTATGTTTCCCATAAAGCCTATATATTTATATTTTTATGATTGTTTGTTGTCGCTTTTCCATATAATACAGACATGCAGTAGTGTGAACAGAGTTAGTGATGATTTAATTAAAGATTTAGGTTTGATAAAAGATTCAATTGTATTATTATGATGATTATCATTATTTTATTGAGGGAAATAGTAAAAATAAAACACTTGTGTGTATCTGGTTGTTCTCGGGACCAGCCTGCAGAGGGCGGTGTTTTTTTTTTGTGTGTGTTTGTGTGTGTGTATGCGTAACAAGTGACGCAGGGTAACGACGTCATCACGCTGCCGTTTCCTCGGTGACGGCGCTAAATGCGGAAAAAGCAACGTGTTGACAACGTCGCTTTTCTCCCGACGCTGGATTTACGCAAGAAACGGAGCGTTGAGTGGCGCAGGAGAGCGATTCACAGAACACGTGGGCGGGAAGAGTTTGATATTTTTTACCTTCCAGAGGATCCGAGTCCATGTGGCTGCTGCTGAAGCTAACAGCGGAGCTAGCAGAGGAGCTAACTGCAGCAGACGTGCACAGGTTCGATTCCGTCACTTTCCCTCTGGACCACAGGACTGAGAACTGACGTCAACAGGAGGAAACTGCTTTGTTTTTAACAGCTTCAGAGACAGATGTTGTTTACACCGTAGACATCAAGGACAGATGTGTCCTCAATCAATCAATCGATCAATCAATCAATCGATCGTTCGATTGATTGATTGATTGATTGATTGATTGATCCAGTTTCATTTTTATAACCCATGTACACAAACCTCAATGTCTCTCATACATTATTAACAGGGATCCTCTGTTTATTAAGAATATTAATAATGTAAACAAATCTTCCATGTCATGTGACCCACTGACTCCAGACCAGTGCTTTATTGTATTGTTAACGTTGTTTAACAGCTTAACATCAGATATTGTCTACACCTCAGACATACGGCACGGACGTGTCCTCTGTTTAAAAAGAATATTGGTCAAACAAGCCAGTGCCGAGTTGTTTTATTAACCTTGTAGTAAGTTTATCAATTCAGTCTTTCGTGTCCTGCATTTGGAAATCCAGCAAAAACACCTTCACTCCTCAGCAAAGACATATGACAGATTAAAAATGAACACACCGTGACACAACCATTGTTTAATCATCATCATTCCATCAGCTCTAAACTTCATGTGTTTTAATTATTATTATTATTCTTGATTTCCACTGGTGGTGGATTACCTGGTCTAAGCTGACTTCCTGTTGTCCTGCAGGTTTCCCTGACGTCTGGACATCATCTTCATCTCAGGCCATGGAGCCAGAGGCGGCTGAATCCCCAACCTCACACCAAGGGCCAATCGAAGTTGTCAACTCTATTCGTGAGCGTACGATCGCAGAGAACAGCATGGTGGTCCTGCTGCAGGGTCTGCAGGGGGAGGTGACCACGGTGGACATGAGGAACGAGAGCACGGCGCGGGGACGCGTGGTTAACGTGGACGCCTTCATGAACGTGCGGCTGGAGGAGGTGTTGTACCGGGACCGGCGTGGTCAACTCACAAAGCTCCAGGACCTGTTCATCACAGGTAGAAATGTCCGCTACGTTCACATCCCGGACCACGTGGACATAATGAAGACTATACAGAGTCAGCTGACCAAGATCCACAGAGTCCGCAACTTTGCTGGTGAAGGAGGAGGCAGAAAAGAGTTTGCCAAGAAAAAAAAATAGACAAAACTCTGCAGGGTTGAGAGCAGAGACACGTGGAGGTAACAAGCAGTTCTTTATGTTTTTCAGATCTAGGTCGGGTCATGTACTGCTTTGAATTTTTTTGATGTGAAATTGGGGATTTGTTCACGTCTCAGGTCCAATAAAGCCTTAAAATGAAACAATCTGAAAAAGAGAACAAAACCCCCATCATGGTGAAACTGCAGGATGGCGGTGAAACATCTGTTAAATTTAGTCATGTCATATTTAAAAGTCTTAAATTGAAACCCTGATCAAATGACCTCAAATGCACCGTTTGACTTGAACTTTGTGTTTTTTTTCCGTCTCATTGGTCGTTTGCCGACAGACAATTAGTTTTGAAATTTTAAATAAAGATGCTCATCAATCAATCAATCGATCTTTGTTGGCGTCTTGGGTGAAATCCTTATTAAATTGAAAAATATGTTTTTCTGGCCAGAAAACGTAGATGATGAAAAACGAAATACAGACGTGTTCACCCTGGACATGTCCCCAGCGTATCACAGCATAGAGACAAACAACCCTTCACACTCACATTCTAGCACAGAGCTGCTATATCAAATTTAAATGGCACATATAACAATCAACAGTGTCAGTGTGTATTTGCTCTTGAGTCATCCTGCCCTATCCCACAATGCTCCTCTGTCTGTTTGCCTGTGAAAATAAACTTAATAACTGCCCACATGCAGGAAAACATTCGTCACTATCAATAATAATATAACACTATCGCTGCTGTGGAGGGAAAAACAATAGTCACGTGCCCACAAACATGTCTGCTGCACTGAGCTGTCACCCCCCCCCCCCCTGTGACGGGTGGCGTGGCATCCAGACCCGAGCCGGGCGGGTTCGGCCAATGGAAACGAGCCGAGCGGGTGAAAGGAAGAGAGTGTTTCGCTTGGAAACTGCCGCCCCAGTGTTCTCTCGATGCACAAATACGATTGGGAATTTGAGGAATTTGCAAAGGGGTATGTTATTCCTACGCTGTGTCAGGAAGAGGACAGGCCTGACACAACACAAGCGGAGGCAGCTGGTGCAGATAAACCCTGCACTGTGGATGGAGGGGCGTCCACTCAGCAGCTGTATCATTTAAACTGAGTGAAACACGGCGTTAAATTAAGAGGAGTACGGACACAGGAATTTCCCTTGGCAGTTGGATCATTGTTTTGGCCCCTGTATGTTTTTAGGGACATTTTTTTTTTTCCAAACCAGCATTGAGAGCGTCTAAATGACAACAGCCCACATAATGACTGCTCACTGGTTCGCTAAAAACACCACGGAGCGCCACATCAACACGAGATGAACTCAGAATAGCACTTTACAGACACTCGACCGCATAAACAATTCTCTGACAATACACAGCACAGACTGGTTTGGTGTCACAGACTCCACCAGCGGTCAAAGAAGCAGTCACATCATTTAGTACAACTACCAATTTAAAAGTATATGGAATCAGTTCAAGTCCAGCATTGAAGGCAAAAGTACAAGTAGCAGAAGTATTACCAGCGAAATAAAGTAACTGATCTGTAGGAAAATTTTAAATACTAGAAGGTCGAACAGTTCTCAGCACCGGTTTGATTTTAGTACATCGTATTTTATGAGCCTTTTACGTTTTTACATAAAAACTTCATTAGAAAAAGGACAATTACATATTTCTGTCAGGTAAACAACTAAAACACAGTTTATAAAACTCCATTACAACTAAAGTGAAGATGTAATTTAAGTAAAAGAAACAATCCTGAGCAAAATGTACTGAAGTAGCTGGAGTGTTTCATTATATCATTAGATTATTAATGTTTGTATGATAATAAAGCTTCAGTAGAAATATTTAGTCGTGCATGTAACTCAATGTGCTTTGTAACTTCCAGCCACTGCAGATGACAGTAAAAAGTAACTTTGAACCTATGTAGAAGTATTAAATTGAAATACTCTTTAGAAAAGTACCTCAAAGTACTGTAGTAAATGTATTTAATTGCTTCCCACTGAACAACAGCACCTGCTGGTCTGTTAACAGGAAGACAAACTGAGATTTAAATACAAATAGTCCAAATAATCCCAGAGCCCCCGCTGCACCACTGCCCCGTGCCAATGGCAGCCGACGAGCTATTTCCTGTTCCACCCTCCTGGATTAACAGTGAACAGACCTCAGTGTGGTGCAGACGCAGAGTTCAAGTCCCTCTCAGTCGTGAGGCTCAAATCTCCAGCAAGTCCAGTTTAGTGGGATTTCTGTAAAAGTGGAGAGTCCATTGTGGTTGTGGTTTTTATTCTGGGGTCAGTTTAATTTTATCTCTCAGGAAAAGGAAACGCTTCCTTCTCAACATTAGTCTGAGAGTGTTTCAGGCTGGTTCTCCTCCCTCTGAGGGGTGAGAGGGAGTGGATCACAGTGCGGAGCTGCTCTCTCTCTCTCTCTCTGCTCCAGCAGCATTATTCTGGATCAAACTCTTCAGTGACCAACAGACTCTCGCTGCTTCTCTCCTCTGAGACATGGGATCTTATCTAAGAGCCGTCTGACAGATCAGAGACCAGCTCCATAAAGTTCTTATCTGGAAACTTTGTGTTGGGGAAGAGGAGCAGCTCCACCAGCAACACAGAGGTGAGTGATGCTCTGATTTCAGATTATTTTGAAATTGAATTTCCAGCTTTATTTCATATTAACATGTACTTTCTGTCAAGAGATTTGTGTCTCAGAGCTTTTTCCCCAAACCCGTTCAATGAGATTTAACCTCGTGCTCTTCACTCTGCTCTGAAGCTATAAGCAAACCAATAAACTGGTTTATTGGAACTGGCAGCTTGTTCTTTAAAAACCACAGCAGCTACAACATGCACAAAAAAAAAAAAAAAATCATCAACCCTTTGAATATAAATTCAAAGAAGAACCTCAGATTCTCACGTGTGTTTAATGACTTTCTCGAGCCCGCTCCCTGCAGCAGCAAGTGTCAGTGACAGCAGCTTCCTCTGTGAGAGACTGGCAGAGTTCACTACTGTAAAATAATGTCTTTATTTTCAGCGGGTTCAGGTTTCATCTTCTGACTTAAATGGGATTATCTGAGCAGGAAACGTGGGAGGCTGGAGCGGGAATGTGTTTTACGGGTCACATAAACAGCTTCAGCCGCTGGGGCTTCGCATGTGTGTAGTTAAGTCGAGAAGTTATTGGACTTGTCTGGAAATGTGAGGTGTTAAATCTGTCTGCCCCGAGACTGCGGCTGCATAAAATGGACATTTGTCTCCCTTGGTTACTTGTGTTGTGCGTCCAGCTCGGATCACTTCACCACAGAATGTGTCTGTCATGAATAAATCTGTGGAGCTCTGCATAAAAATACTGTTTAAGTTATGTTGCTCTCCGAGTAGGAAAACAGAGTGTGCGCCATAAATTTGAGTTCAGAAAAATACCTATGATTTGCATTGCAAAGAAGTAGCGAGTAAAATGACCCTCACAGGGGCTCACACCTCCACCAGCATCACCCCAAGAAATTAAATCTGCAAGATCTGAATTTGATTTGGAGGAAATATACCTGATTTAAATAAAAAATAATAATTGAATTCTCTGGGAAACTGGTGAAAATGTAACACAAGCCTTAGAAAGAGAACCAAACCAACCAACCAACCAAATAAAACAGAACCAACCAACCAGTTTTACTTTTTGAGAAATATGTGCTGGATCTAAAAGCACCATCACCCACTTCCTGTTTATCAGGAGAAAAAACTGCTTCATGAAATATTTTGGCACAAACCCCCCATTTAACAGCAACTTGTGTGTTTTACTTTGATATTCAAAACAAATGAGATATAACTTTTAAATTACTGAGCTGACGAGCAAACGTGGAGAATAAACATTTTTCCCGGAGCCTCAAACTATTCCTATAAATTACAGAGAAAAAAAAAAGACTTGATTACATGATGATATCTTCCGTGTGATAACTGCTCCGAGTTTGATAAACCGTCTGAACCGCTGGGTGTAAAAGGCAGTCTTTAATTAAAACAAACATTGTTTGGCTTCACACTGGAAACTAAATTGCTCAATTATGTAGTTAAGGTCTGGGGGCAGCAAATTGAGGGCGCAGATGGAGTCATGCTTCTTCCCATGATTCAGGGGATCTGGAGTGAGACACCAAAGAGACTACCAGCGTAATTAGCCCTTTTTTTCTAAAAAGCCTTAGAGAGTGTTCAGGGTCTGCCAAGAGCCACCGGGATAAAGATCAGGGTGGGAGAGAGAGAGAGAGAGAGAGAGAGAGAGAGAGAGAGARAGAGAGAGAGACCTTAACCCCCAGTGGCGGTGAATGGAGCTGGTCATGGTTTCGTTCTCCCCGAGGAGAAAGCAACAGAAAGAAAAACATTGGGCTCCCACGCACACTGTTGTTGTAATGACAGGGAATGTGAGCGGGTGGGAAATATCAGTCATCATGTTTACATCAAGATCTACTGTAACCGTGGGACCATCTGTGACCCCCCCCCCAGCCCTTACCCACCAGCACTTCAGCCCAATCCAACCACTAAAGGGTCACTTCACTCAAAATAGTTCCAATGAGGCCTGTGTGGATTGTTTTGGTTTGGTTCCCGTGCTCTGTCTGTTTATAAAAATGGACGTAGACTCCGGGTCCAGAAAGTGAAGCCAGTGCACAAGTTCCTGAAACCCGTATCATCTTGAATGACCAGCAGGGGGCGAAACCACTGGTTGCATGAACATTTTCACAATGTATCGTCTCAATCTCTAGTTTCAAGTGTTCTTCAGTGCAGCGTGATGTTAGTTTTGTAAGTTATAGGAGTTTAGAGTCAAATACACGACAAACCACCATGTGCATTGGGGCGTGCACACCATTTGATTGACAGCCAGTACCATCCAATGGGTCGGTGGGCAAAAAAAACTTGAAGCTTCAAAACAGCGAACCAATGAGTGAGGTCTTGGTCCCTTTACTTTAAACGCCACCATGAGGACGAACTGTAAGAACGAGTGTTTCGAGGCAGTTCAGTGTCAAAGCAAATGGAATCAGCTGTTATCGGGGGCCTCCCTCTCGCTGCTCGGGGCCCCAGGCACCACCCTGCTTCGTTTCATGACGTGCAAAGTTCTGAACATTCCCATCAGCGTCTGCTGGGCTTTGTGTTTATGCCACATTCACGTCATATCAGATTTATCGCAATCACCTGTTTCCCTCTTGTAAATATTCAACATGTGAAATATAAGTTTAAACTATGTGTATATATATATATATATATATATATATATATATTCTGTAGGCCACATAAAATGTACAATATTCCTTATCTTATATGTGCAGTCCGGTTTACTCTTGTTAATTTTGTATTTTCTTTTGCATATTTTTTTTACCAGTGTTTCTTATCTTCACTTTCCTCTTTGCTGCTGTAACAACTTCCCCAGAGGATTATCTTATCTTCACAGTCCAACTATGTCTCTGCCAATTAAAATGTTACAGACAGACATTAAAATGTTTTCCACAAGTTATTTCTCTTTTTTCTTGCCTGAAGCCGTTTCACCACCGTCCCACAACTGCTTTAGATTTGTAGCAGCTGCTCCTCTGCCTCTTTCTGCTCACTGACCTTTTTAATTTGATTTATTTTGTTTGCTCTTGTCTTATTTATACATGATCTTTCATTTTATAATATTTTTCGTGTGATATAAGTTGAGATGAGGGTTCGTGGATCAGCTGTGACCACTTAAAAAACATCTGTGGACCCAAACATCTGTATCATTAATGAATTAAATAGTGAAGAAAATAAACAATGCACTTTTTTTGTAAACTTGATGAGTTTTGCCCGTGGACTTGAAAATGAAAGCAACTTTTTCTGGCGCTTTTCTGTGGGAAAAAAAAAAGAAAAAGAAAAAAGGTCCCATTTCCCTGAGACCGGAAAACAAGAGCCTCCTCAGGCCCTGATGTCATAAATATATAAACATCCCTGTCAGACAGAGAGGGCCTCACACGGCCGTCCTCACCACAGGCCCGACTGTAAAACACTTACGAGGAACACAATGTCCCCCTCGTCTGACCTCTGACACGGCTTTAAATCACAGGAGTGGAGGGCGGAGCCTCAGAGAAACGTTTTTCTCAGGACAGTGGCTGTGAACGTGACACTATTTGCTCCTCATTAAAGAAAATGAGATTCATGTGCACGTGTGAACTTGTGTTTGCTTCGTGACAGGAGCTGCTGCAGGAGTTCAGAGTGAGAGGTGCTGGAGATGGTGGAAGGTTGAACCCACAGTGACGCGGGATGGAGCCTGTGAAGAGGGACATGGAGCTGCTCAGCAACAGCATGGCCACCTACGCTCATATCAAAGGTAAAACCATGTTGTAGGAACTGATCAAACAACTTCTCTCAAATCTTTCTTCTACTCGATGGATGATTCCATTCTCGTGTCTTTATGGTGAATACAGAGGCAGATCCAGGGGTGGGGCTCGGGGGGGGCACAGTCCCCAGCTGAAATTAAAAATCTGTACTATTTGAAGTAAATGTTTCCAGCTGTGTTTACTTTGTGTTCCTGCTGATTGCGTTGTGTTCCCTCGCCCACGCAGCCAACCCAGAGAGCTTCGCCCTCTACTTCATGATGGGCGTCTGTTTCGGCCTGCTCACGGCGCTCTGCCTCCTGGTGGCCGGCATCACCTGCAGAGCTCGCAGGTCCCGCCGCACCCGCAGACCCCCTCCTTCCCCCGAGAGGAGACAGCTGAAGGAGTCCAGCGGGGAGGAGGAGGACGAGGACGAAGAGGAGGAGGACGAGGAGGAGAGTATCGCAGGCGTGGACGGCGAGGAGGCAGAGATCCCCAAAGTGACAGCGGGGCCCATGAGCGACCGCAGCAGCCAGTCCAACGGGACTCTGAGGAGCGTGAACGTGTTCGCTTCGGCCGAAGAGCTGGAGAAGGCCCGGCGTCTGGAGGAGAGGGAGCGGATCGTCAGGGAGATCTGGAGGAACGGGCAGCCGGACATCCTGGTCACAGGGACGGGGACGATCGGACGAGTACATTACCACTAACACACACTTTGACTGTGTCGTGAGAAGACACCGCACAGACTGCAAAGGTCAAAGGTCAGGGGAACTTCGTCTTTTACCATTCAGAGAGGGTTTGACAAAGGGGTATGTTGAGTTGCATTATGGGAATTGTAGGGTCAAGTGGGGGTGTGACGTCCCAGGTCTCGGGGAATACCTGGACAGAACAAAGTTTGTAAAATCCAAAGCTGCAGATTATTCACTTCAGGGACGAGCAGGGACCGAAACAACGAACAGGAAGTAAACCAAATACACAAACGTCATAAACGAGAGAGAAACAAACGTGAAAACCAACAAACTAAACGATCGTGTCACTGCTGCGGAGTTCAGGACACACAAACAGACAAAGGACCAATCTACAGCGTCACTGAGCAATTATAATAAAGACTTGAAGACTGGTTCCTTTGTGAGGTCGTGGGAAGAAGAGAGAGAAGGAGGAGTTTAAAAAGTCTCCTGCTGTTCATCGCTCCAATCCAGAATCAACCAATCAGAGTTTTTGATTTCCTCCTCTTGTAAATCTGTTGTGTTTCATATTTCTTGTGACATAAATACGATTTTTGTATGTTTGTATTTTATCTTTATAATGTGAATAATAAAATAATTTAACCACTTTTTGAATCGATTACAGGAAACATGTTCATCACTGACAGCGATTTACACCTCTTTGATTTCTTTTGGGTTGAATGAATCTTTTTTGATCATCGTACTTTAACTAAAGAAGATCTTTAAAGTAATATTCGGTTTCCGGAAGTGCACAAATTACATAAATAATAAATAAACAGTTGTATGAATCAATGCTTATATAAAAAATATTCAATCTAGAAATGAGTTAAAATCATTTGCAGCTCTGGTGTCAGAGGCGGTTTCATGGTGGTCTGACGTTAAAGGATCCCCACAGAAACCCTCCAGTCTTTTTTTCAACATCTACATCGACCTGTGTCTCTTTCCGGCTCCACGCTCACTCCGGTAAAGACACATCTGTGTGTTCAGGCTATGAAAGAGTCTTTCACCTCGGCTCCACTGTAGATTTTAGCAATGCAGAGTAAAAACCCAGCGACGTCCCAGGAGACTGGAGTTTTCCTCGTCCGTTCATGAAAAGCCTGATTCTGTTACACGTCACAGAGAAAGACTGAATTCAGACAAAGCGAGACACTCATGTCCTGCTGGTTTGTGTCCGAATGAAAACTAAAGACACATTGATTTTAAGAAACACACATTGTGAGGGTGTTTCACACAATTCTACAGATTGAAACATTTAAAGAGCTACAGCGAGCAAAAGTCAAAAATAAATAAATACATGAAATACAGGTTGGCATGAATCTGGATAAACAAACAAAGAGATATTTCTTTTATCACTTTTTTGAAGTGGTTTATTTTATGGAATCTCAAGAATCACACTTCTGATTTGCCCTGAATCAAA